CCAAACCTTCCCTTCCCAAACCTTCCCAAACCTTCCCAAACCTTCCCTTCCCAAACCTTCCCTTCCCAAACCTTCCCAAACCTTCCCTTCCCAAACCTTCCCAAACCTTCCCAAACCTTCCCTCCTCTCCCTTCCCCGGGAAGTTTCTGGACCCGTCCTCCCTGCCGGCTGTTCCAGAGCCCTCCCACCGGCACCTCCCTCCTCCCTGCGCTGGGACTGGAGCCCCATCCTGCCCTTCCAGGGGCGGCTTCAGCTGACGAGGAGGGGCCGAAGAGCTCGGGAGTTGTTTCAGGGGTGGGGGCGAAGGGTTTTGAGCGGCCTCGGAACGGCCGTGCAGGGCTGGCAGGGCTGAAGCCCCTCCTGCCCCTCGGAGCGGTGGCAGGAACAGCTCCCGGCCCCCAGCCCGGCTCCGAACACTCCGGGGCTTCCTCGGGCTTTAACCGAGCCCGGGGCGTGAGAGGAAGATAGAAAGGGCCCCACCGATGGGGTCGACCCTCTGCCCTGCCCCGAGCCGTGCCAAGGGCGGCGCTGGCACCGGCCGATGGCACCGGCCGATGGCACGGGGCGATGGCACCGGGCGATGGCACCGGGAGATGGTACCAGGAATGGCAGCGGGTTCTCCGGGCTCGCCGGGCGCGGGCGAGTTTGCTGATCCACGCGGGGATGGCTGAGCAGCTCCTCCCCACGGGGAGGCACGAGAGCCCTTTAGGATCCCGCTGTGCCGGGGAACTCGGGCTGGCCGGGAGCCCGCGGGCAGCACCCGGCAGGGCCCGGGGAAGCAGTGCAGGTGACAGTTCAGGTGACAGAGCACCGGGTGGGGGTTGAGCTCCTTGGGAACCTGCGGGGTGTGGCGTCTCCCTGGGACAGAGGGCACGTCCTTGGGAGTGACCGCGGGCACCGTCAGGGACTCACTGTGTCCCTTGGCATCACCAGCAGCGTTGCCACCCTACTTCCAACCTGCTGCCAACCTGCTTCCAACCTACCCTGGGACGTGCTTGGTGGGAAGGGTCAGTCCTCAGGGCAGCAGCTTTTCCTTCACCCACCCTCTGGGATTTGCTGGGTTAAATCGTCTCCCTGGGTTTTCTGCTCTGCTGTGTCGTTGGGGCCAAGCCCAGGTGGGGATGCACCACCCCACAAAAGCTTCCCAAATGGCTTCCCAGGGCTGTGCATCCCATGAAATGGGAGAGATTCTGGGCACAAGTACTGGAGCAGCCCCGAGTGAGGTCCCCCCGGGGTCTGTGTCACCTTGGCACTCACAGAGTGGTGGTCCAAGGGCTGGTGCTGGAATGGGCATCGCTCCACAGCATCCCAGTGCAGCAGAGGCCTCCTTGGAAAAGCTCTGGGGTTTTCCCTTTGTTTGCCCTTCTATTTTTGCCTTGTGCCATCTTGTGTGGACCCACCAGACCATGGCACTGGGGGGGGGTCACTCGCCCTAATTAATCATCCATCCCTCCAAGCACAGCCCTGTGCTGCTGGCACCAGCCACACTCCTAATCAACTTTCCTAATTAAGAGGCCCCTTTCCATGACCAGAAGAGCTGTGGGATGGAGAAACCCTCAGCTTCTCCTCGCCCTGAGCACCCATCGCGGAGCTGGAGGTAAACTGAGGCAGGAGGGGGAAGCTCAAAGCAAAGGAAAGGCCGAAGAAAGGTGGGTGGAAAAGAGAAATGAGCTCCCCACGCCCTGACTTGTCTCCCTGGAACAGCATTTCTTGGCTGCTGCCGAGCCCTGGGGGTTCAGTCAAGGTTTGGTCTCGTCAGGGCAGGCTCAGCCGGCCCCGACACGCCAAACCCTGCGGATCATCTGCTGGCACCGGGCTGGGCACCAACCGGCCCCTCCTGCCCTGGCCACGGGCTGGCCTGTCCCCAGCTCATGGGAGCCAGTGCAGGAATCCACGCTGTGTCCCCTCTTTGTCCTCCTTGTGCTCCCTCTTTGCCCTCCTGCATCCCACCCCTCCCTCTGTGCCAGGAATGGCAGCGGGAATTTATCGGCATCCAACGCTTCTGTGGGATCCCCACGGCCCATTGCAGCTCTCAGGCCCATTTTCTCCTTCCAAGAATCCCTCCCTGTCCTTCTCTCCCCATCAAGAACCTGGAAGATCTCAGTGCTTGGTGTTCACCAGAAAAACTTCTTTTCATGGGTTTTTAAGGAACTCCTGACATTCCCTGGACACACCCCGGGTGTCCCAGAGGATGTGTGGATAACGCCATGTCCACCAGGAACAGGCTCTGCTCAACCACCTGCAACATTTGGTCACTCTCGACCTTTGCAGGCTTTTCCCAAGCCCTGGGATGCTTTGCTTGGGATGATGGAGGAGCTGGGATCCCCCTCTGCCAGGCTCCCACCCGATAGCTCATTTTTGGCACGACCCGGGTTGTTGTTTTTTTTTTTAGAGGTTCTT